ATTTGTTGACATAAATGGTTATAACATTCTCTTATAGTCATTTTTAGTTTTGTAAAATTGGTATCATTTCCCCCCACTTTTATTTTTTATTTTAGTATTTTGAGTTTTGACTCTTTTGTTCTCAGTTAATCTAGTTGAAAAATTTTTAATTTAGTCAATCTTTCCAAGGGACCAACTTTTGGGTTGTTTACTAAAAAAGTAATAGAAAATTATTTTTAGTATCCATTTTATTTATCTTAAGATATTTTCTAATAAGACTCCCTGATTCTTTATTCAACTATGTTGAGTCTACTGATGAACCTATAAAAGGAATTATTCATTGCTGTTACAGTGTCTGATTTCTAGCATTTTCAGTTGATTTATTTCTTAGAATACTTCCTGTCAACTTATATTACCACCTGTTCTTGCATATTGTATACTTTTTCTTATTAAAGCTCTAAACATATTAACCATACTTATTTTATAATCGTTATATGATCATTCCAACTTTTGTGAGTCTGATTGTGATGATAGCTTTGTCCTTCAGACTTTGTTTCTTCTTGCCTTTAGTAGGTTTTATAATTTTTTGTTGAAAGCCAGATATGTTATAAAGGGTAATAGATACTGAAGTAAATAGGCTTTTAGTAGTAAGAATTTATGTTAACCTAGCTAATCTGTCATAGATATAGGCACCAGAGGCTTGATATTACTCTAGTGGGTTTACTTTTATTCTCCATTCTTGTGACTTTCTTTTATTCTGGTCCTTGGAGAGAATCTTTGTCTCTTTTAGTTGTAATCCACTATTATTATTACTGGAGGTTTATTCATGAGTTGATAGGGTGAGTGAGTGGGGTAAGGAGGGGAGGGTTATTCTAGTATCTTCTAAGATTCTACTTAGGTCTCAGTCTTTTGTAGGCCTGTGCCTTGGGGGTGGGGTTAAATTTTCAGAAGTCCTATACACTTCTGGCCTACCATTTCCAGTCTGTTTTCTTGAAATTATCTCCTAGTTGACTCTCACTTGCTTGTTTACCTATTCACATTATGTGAGATGAGAAAGCTGAGGAGGACTGTTCCTTCCTTTAGTTGGAGAAGATTTTCAGAATAGACCTGTTAGGAAGAATGGTCTGGAGGGTTTCACAATGGCTATTTTTGCTCTCCCTCTGCCAGGCCCATGAGGAGATATTTTTCTATCCTTACCCTGAAAACTAGTGTGATTTCTGGAGGAAAAGCCTATAAAAGTATAGGCCTCCCTTTTACTATCCTGCCACCCACCCCCAGAGTCTTACTTAGCAAGAAACAATTTGTCAAAATTACTCTCTAACTGTTCCTACCAGTTTTTGGCATCTTGAGGTTTCTGCTCCTGTCTTGGTTATTGTTTTTCTCTGGATGCACTTGTCTCTCCAGAATTCAGAGAAGTTGTTTGCCCTACAACCTCTGACAGATCAAGAAAAGTCATAGATACTCAGTTTGTCCAGATTTTTCTTGTTGTAAGGAGGGGAATGGCAACATCTAAGGTCTTACATATTATTTAAAACAAAACACCTTTCCCCTCTGAAATATGGATGTGTGTCTGAATCAGCATGGATCCAAGACCAATAACATTAGGGCCTCAGGACAACTGGGCAGTTGAGTAAAGACATGAAAGCAGGATAACAGAATGCACTGTTCTTTTTTTTTAATGCAGCTTTTCATTGTTGAGGTAAGTTTCATTCTATAGTTTTAAAGAGGGCTTTAATAGAGAACATTTAGGAGAGTAAAAGAGTAAGAGAAGCATTGTTTATAACAGCAAAGTGGGAAATAACTTGAATATCCATCTACAGGAGAGTGCTTAAATTAATTGCTACCTACAGGAGACTGCTGTACAGTTATTCAAGAGAATGGAGAAACTGCCTGCTACTGGTGTCTGCTAAGAAGATGTCTGCAATCTGCTGTGTAGTAAAAAAGATTAAAGTTCATGCATGTTTATGCCATGGGCATAGAAAGGGTCTGAGGACACACCCAGTGTTTGAGGAGGACAGAGAGAAGAGGTTCAGCACTTGGTGGTGTTTGGATTTTTTACTAAGAGACAATTCATTTTATAATAAAAATAACAGGGTAAAGGAGGAAGAAAGGAGACTCACTTTTCATTGTTTTCCTTTCTGTGCCTTTTGAGTTTTTTTTTATCCCCTTTCCATTACAAATGTAAAATAAAAAACCAGGTAAGGTAAGCAACACCCCTGATGTAGTGCACAGGCTCTTCTCCAACCTATGCCAGTGTACCCTATTGGGGCACCTCCCTCTGCCTTCTTCCCTGCCCTCCTGGCCCACCTCCCTCACCACCACCATCAACACCCCCACACCTGAGAAAACCTGCTGTAAAGCCCAGGCCTCCCCCAGTGTTAGAGTAGGCTGGAGGCTGCCTGGCTCCTTTCCAGCATCTCCAAGTTCCTAGCACAATGGTGAAAGGTTGGAAGGCACAGAACACAGGTTGAACCCCAGCTCCCAACTTACCACTGTGATCCTGGGTTAGTCACTTGGGCTCTGTGGAACAGCTGTGAGCTGGGGAAAACTGGACCTACTTTGTAGAATGTACTTTACCAGGTACAAAACCTCAAACCTCCTATAATCTCTACAGCCATGAGTGGATGAGAGGGTTAGAAATGACCAGAGTTATGAAAATGCCTTGTCTAGGCCTCTTCCACTTCCAGAATTAGACTAGGTGCCTATCCTAGGAACTGGTTCCAAAGCTCCCCTGTTTCCCCTCAGTGGGTCACCTTAAAGATATCCTTAAGGCCTACAGATGCCAGTCAGACTAGTGCTGCCTGGGCCTCTCTTGCCGGGGAGGGCAATCTGAGGGATGGGGTGTGAAGAGAGAGATAGATTGAGGAGACTTGGATTTAGTGCACACAAGAGAAAGGTCACACTTTCCCCCATTCTTCCAGCAAGGTGCCTAGCAGGCTACTGCTAGGACCTCCCCCCAGATTTCTGAGAACGAGAATCTCCATGGTGCCATACTAGTCTAAGATGCTCCCCAGATTGAGATACACTGGGCCAGTGTAGGCACCACCCTAGATCCTTATTTCTGCTGCCATACTATGGGTCACTGCATAGCAAGGCATAGGCCCCTCCTGACCATGCCTGAACCACCTTGGTTCCTGTCCTCCCAGTGGTTTTGGCTGGCTGGGTTCCACTCCACCTCTCCCGTCCCCCAGGCATCACCAGTCAGTGTGACATTAAGGAAATGCTCCATTAGTATTTCTGCCAAGGTAAAACCTTAACTGGGCTACTCTCCAGACACATGCCTCGCGATCAATAAGAAGTCAGAAAATCATGTGCAGCCTTTTGATATTTCATTCTTTCTACAACTATTTACTGGATACCTGCTTTGCTCAGGTGCAGTACAAAGTGACAGGGCTATGATTGAGTGAGAGGCATTCCTTGTTCCTGGAGTTTTAAGCCTAATTACAGGGAGACACAAGGCTGGCACTCAGAGGGTGCTCAGACATCTGTGCCCTTGAAGAAAGGAGAAGTGAAGGCTTTGAAAGAGACATTCAATATCACATGATCTCACTCATATGTGGGATATAATGATCAACATAATCTGATGAACAAAAATAGATCCAGAGACAAATGGCAGGGGAGGTGGGGGGCGGGGCTAGAGAGCAACCAAAGGACTTTTATGTATGTATATTAGCATAATCAATGGACACAGACACTGGGGCAGTGGGGGCTTGCCTGGGGTGGGAATGGCTGGGGCAGGGGGGTCAAGCGGGGAAAAAGGAGACAAACTTTCGACGTTTGGGCGAGAGAGAGAGAGAGAGAGAGAGAGAGAGAAGAAAGAGACATTCACTGCAAGAACTCAGTGGGAGTAGTTCTGGAGTTTGGTGAAGAGCTGGACTTTGGAGCCAGTGGTTGGGACTCAAATCCCATCAACCCCACTCACTAGCCATGTGCATCCAGGGGCAAGTCACATCAGCACTCTGTCCTTGATTTCCATGTCTGAGCATTGAGGATGACAACTGAACTTAGGCTGATGCAGGGACGAGGTGAAGGATTCATTATTAATGCAGCCAGGCCCAATAACACTGTTGGGGTCATCTGTGGCAGGCCCGAGAGAAGGGATCATTGTGGCTTCTCAGGAAGGCTGACCTTCCTGACTTTCCTCAGTGTTCAGGTTTGGATGGACCTACTCAGGAACCTTGATATAAGTTTTAGAGCCTACAACGTCCCACCTGTGTCCTGTGCACAGTCAGCCCCAGCAAGCAGTTTTTACTGAGGGCTGCAGAGCATTTTCTCACCTGAAACAAAGCCTCAGACAATCAGGAGAGACACAGCTTGTGGTCAGCTGTCAGACTGCATACCTCAGTGTGGAATTCCACCCCATAGCTGACCTACCTCCTTTCTGTGCTGACCTTTCCTGTAGAAATAATGGTATAAGCAGCCTGTGGAATCCCATCCTTCATGCCTCACTGCGGTGTGTCAGCAAGGTGGGGTCTAATCACAGAGAACCTTGATGGGCAATCTGTCACTACACCTCATGTCCCAACACTGGACAGAATGGATGCCTCTTCTTCCTGAGGACATGGGTCATCTTTTCTTTCCCTACTCTAAATGCCTGGTGCTATGGATGTGTTGTGGCTTTGGGAGAAGGGGGATGACAGAGGTCCAGCCCCCATTTAAAGGTAAGTTTTCTTGAAGGAGGAGGCAAGGATGCTGATGATTTAGAGCAGGGGTCCTCAAACTTTTTAAACAGGGGGCCAGTTCACTGTCCCTCAGACCGTTGGAGGGCCGGACTATAGTTTTAAAAAAAATATGAACAAATTCCTATGCACACTGCACATATCTTATTTTGAAGTAAAAAAACAAAAAGGGAACAAACACAATATTTGTATTTGCATGTGGCCCGCGGGCCGTAGTTTGAGGACCCCTGATTTAGAGGGCCCAAGTGAAAGAGATGTGGAGAATCAATCAGTTCTTTCTAAACATTATGCTGTCCATGGCTCCCATTAAAGAGTGCAAGTTGGGGGAAATTATTGTTTTTATGGGACGATTTTTGGCCAGAGGCAGGTGGCTATATTGCACAGTAATATATGGTGTCTGTTTGTTCAAGGCTCTTGCTGAGATGAAGGTGGTCCTTCTTATTCACACAGAAAAGTCCTTTCAGGCTTCCAGTACTTCATGGCTGCTTGTTCTGGGGGCAGAGAGCAGGCTGGGGTGGGACCAGAGGGTATTCCAAAGCTTATCTGTGGCCCTGTATCTTGCCTGTCACCAACTCTCAATGTCCCACATCTGAGTCTTGGACCCCACACTCACTCATTTATTATTCTCAACCCTTATGCAAACTTATTGGCTCCTTCACTTCCCATTCACAATATGGATGTTTCCTTCCCATCAGTTTCAAGCCTGAGCTCCTCTCTGGCATGCTGTATAAGGAACAGCCAACACTGGGAATAAATTCTTTATTTCCTTGTAGGAAATCAGTGAGACACATTTTGAAAGTGCTGGCAGCTTCCCAGCTTTCCTTGGTCTTAGGCTGTCAGTACCTGGTCTGGATGAGCTTGTTGGTTCTGCCTTCACAATAAAATGCCCTGCCCTACTTGCCTGAGTCCTGCCAACCCATCTTCCCCAAACACAGTTCTCATATCAAGGACAAAGGATGGAGATTTTGGTCTTAGGTTCTCTTGAATGTGGCCACAAAGATGCAGCTTCTGGTGACTGCAAGGTCATCCTGCAGTGGGAGTTTCAAGTTGGCTGACCTGGGGGCCTCTACTTCTGGTTGGTTGCAGAGGAGGCCCCTGTGAGTCAGGAAGCTGCAGCAGCTTTCTGGGTACTTGCAGAGGAAACCCTCTCATATTGGCTATGATGAAGTGAGGCTCATGAGTCCTGACAGGTGGCCCCAGGGGCTCAGCCAGGTAGCAGGGCCAAGAGTACTAAAGTTCAACTGATCCCTACGTGCCACCTGCTTCCTGGCCTTCAAGCTGAGCTACAAGTACTGCTCCTCCACTGAGGCATGGGCCTGGGCATCCAGCCTGGTGAGCTCCATCCTGAGCTGGCTTATGTCCAGGAAAAGGCCTGGGCACTTCTGATCCTGTGGGCTGTGGAGTGGGCTGGTCAAGGAGGGCAGGCTACAGATGGCAGCCACTCCAGGAAAGCTGTTAGACTGTTTCTGCTGTGAAATGGTAATGTCCCTGGCCTGAGGCTGCCTACAGAGCCTACTGCTTGTGTCCTGCCTTGGGGGCTGCACAGAATAAGGCTTGCAGTCTGGGTGGATCTGTAGGGCTGCAACCTTGGCCACACAATCTTTCAGGGAGGGCTCTGTATCCAGAGTACTTTCCCTAAGACCTGGCCTTTGCTGATCTCGAAAACACCCCATCTTTCCAGGTGCCCTTAGCTCCTGGGAGTGGGGCCAGGCAAAGGGGTTTATGATCTTATTTTTGATCTTGTTTGGGCTAGAAGTGCCTGTCATCATGGAGATTGCGGATCCCAAAGAGGAGAACAAACCTTCGTGGCAACCTCGTGTCCCTTCTTCCCCTGAGACCTGCACACACTTCATAGATGGGTCCCTGGACAGAGAGCTGGTCTCCTGCTCAGGCCGTGCTAAAACCTTGCTCTCTCTAACAAGCAGGCTCTTGGTACCCAAATGTGCCCACAGCTCCTGCCTACTAGGTCTTGAGCTTACTGTGATCCCACCTGCATCTGAGGCATGGGCCCCCCTGACCTCCAGCTTCACTAGACCTGGACCTTTCTTCTCAGAGCCAGCTCCCAGATTCTCCACCAATCCCCTGAATGGGGTTGCAGGATCCCCAGGGGTTGAGATAGGAGGAGCATGGAGCTCAGGACTACGGCGAAGCCAGTTGATAATACCCATGGTGATGGTGAGTTCAGTGTCACAGAGCTTCAGCAGGCACTCCTTGCCCTTCCAGGAGCTCTGCAAGAAACCCTGGCTGAGCAGGTCTGGGCTTGGTCCCGAGGCCAAGTCCTCCTCTGCCCCCATGTGGAAGCTGCAAATAGACAGTGGCATTCCCAGTGCTGGCTCTGAGAGACTCTCAGACACGCACAGGTCATCATCAAGGCCAACAGGGCCCTCACTAGGGTCACAGAAAAGCTCATAGAGGGCATCTCCACTATAGCTCTCCCGAGGGAAGGCAGCTGCAGGGGTGCCTGGGCTCATGGCTTCCTTCCTATCCTCCTCAAGGCTAGATGAAAAGGCATCGTAGTAGCCCTCGTCACTTGTGGACACAGATTCTGGCTGCTCGCTCCTGGTGGTGCCTGTGTTTATGGAGCTGGCTTTGGAGCCACTGAAGAGGTCCCTGCAGGGACACAGAGGGAACTCAATGAGCCCAGCTGAATCAAGCCCAGGTTGGGCTGTATCCGTTCCCTGAGGACCCTCCAGCCATGGGCTCAGTTGGGTGTGCTGTTGTTGCCTCACAGAGTGATTCACACTATCCCAGAACTTGGCAAAGTCAGACATGTCATCCTGGGCAGGAGACACCAGCTTCTCCACGCTGCCCTGGAAGGGGCCACTAGAAACCTTGCTCTCAAGGGCCTGCGATGACTTGGCTGAGCTCTCTAAGCCCTCATTCAGCTCCAGGAATGGCACTGAGCTTTCATCCGCAAAGATCTCCCCGCAGCCTGTGAGTGAGTCAAAGCTCTTAAGTGAAGCCACGTCCTCACACAGGGCCCTGCAGAAGTCGAAAGAGGAGTCAGGCAGGAACTCACTGTCAGATAGGTCCTGGCACAAGCCATCCAGCCCCAGTCCCTCACCCAAGGGGAAAAAGGCTTTGCCTCGCTGCCCTCCAGCCTCTGATGGGATTCTGGGGGAAGGCAGGCTCTTTCCCCTGGTTTCCAGTGAAGCCAAGTTCTCAGTCTTGTTTTTATGAATGTGGAATAGGTTCCGAAAGCACTTCTTGGGTCGTTTCAGGGAAATCCTCTTCCTTGGGATGCTCTTAGCCACGGCTGGCACAAAAGGCATTTGGGGCACAAAGTGGCGGTAATCAATAATGCGCTGGCTGCCAGAGGGCCCTGGGAAGCTCGTGCTGCCTACCAGTTGCCTTGTGGCTGCGACCATCCTGCCAGCCCCAGACACACTGTTGTGAGTCTTGCTCTTCCATACCAATTTGAAGGTGGCACCACAGAGGTCTGTGGCACCACCCTCAGGCTCTGGCTGTGCTCCCTTTTTGGAGTATATGTTATATCCGTGGGTATTAGGACTGGCTTGTGGGCCTCTTTCACCATGGATCTGCTGCTGCCCTCCAGGTGAGACTGACCAGGGGTCTGCATCGTCCCAGGCTGGGGCAGTTGCTGCTGGGCCTGGGGACTTCTCATGAGAAATGTGAAAGCTGGATTTGATGAAAGTCTTTCCTCTCTTCAGCTCCATGCTTCCAGTGCTGTTAGCTGTTGTGGGGGAAAGCATGAGGCACTTAGTATCCATGGTTCTAGCCCACAGTGGTGTTGGAGCTGAACTCTGATATCTAAGCTTGGATCCTCCTTGGAGGTGGTAGAGAGGGAGATGGGAGCAGCCCATCTATGCTCACTATCTAGCCTTTATAGACAACTAATGCTGAGAGAAGTTAAGTCACATGATTAAAGGCAACAGTAGTACCCAAATTGATTTCAGAAGTGTCTGGTGCTCTTGCATTTGTGATCTCTTGACTTACCCAAGCATCCTCTCAGAGATATCTGGCCAAGTCAGACTCCCATTTCCAGGCCCAGGCACTCTACACATAGCACCACATCCTTATAGGGAAGTATCATGGTCCTTGTAAGTGAATGGAGCAGATAATTAAATAAAAAAGTTGCCGCCTATGTCTAAGAGACAAAGCTCAAAGGGAAACCCAAGCTTGCTTCCTGGATTAGATAGTGTCATCCATCAGTCAGAGGGGAAGGCACATATACTGTCCTCTAGGACTGTTGCATCTGTTTGAGGAGGCAAGACTCAATCTACACAGATGCCATCAGGCAAGGCACAGTCAAGCATCTGATGGTGCATGCATATCTTGATCACTGAGATGACAGAGAGTATCATGGTAGAAAGCCAAAGAGAGGAGGCAAGCATGAGGTCAGGAACAGGCAGATTGGATAGACACAGAACATCATGGCTGAAAAAGTAGGTATGTATCACCTTTTGTGCACAGCCTAACTGAAATATATTGATGCCTGGAATGTCATCCAGAGAAGCTTTCTGATGTCCAGTCTGAGTTCAGTGGGCAAGGGTGCTGAGATCTCTTGTTGATGTCTGTCCTGGGTGTGGAACTGAGAAGGTGGTGCAATAGCTACCAATTTGATTATATTTGCACACCTGAGGGTTTTGGCCTTACCCTGAGATCAACAAAGAAGTATGAAAGTCTTCTCAATGAGTGAGTGGAAGCAGTGGCATAAAGAAGTTGGTAGTCTATACCATTCATCTGAGTAGGGACAGAATAAATTAAGAGGGAGGCTCTGAACAAAGAGGACTCAAAAGAGACAGCTAAAATTGACTGACTGTATAGAGATAAGGTCCAGATGGAGGCTGTAGTCATAAGCATGAAAAATAGATGTCAAGTTATAGGGTCTTTCAAAGAAAGAAACACTAGGATTCAGCAACTGAATACAGAAAGAGAAGCAGGCCAGAAGTTGTAAACACTGAGGCCTGGATTCATACCAAGAGAAGGGAACAATGAGAAGTGGGGAAAGGCAAGGAAATGGAGAATTGAGCGAAGATGAGGAAAGGGCCTGTGCTAAGAGCTGGTTTGAGGAAGAGAAGAAAGGGTTTAGTTTTAAATATGTTACCTTTGGGGTGAATTTGGAGACCCACAAGACCATACCAAAAGAAGGCAAGGCCTGAGAACCACCCCAGCTCCCACTCTGCACCCTCACAGGCGCCCACTTCACATGCTCAGTTCTTCCCCATGCCAGTGAGTGATCTACAGGTTGGGCCTATGTCATTCTGGCCAGGGAGAGATTAGAGAAGAGAATTTTGGGCTAGTTTCTTTGACTCTCTTTCACTGCTCAATAGAGAGCACCTGAATTCACTTCCTCTCAGGCCACAGCTTGTGAAAGAGGAATGAAGCAGATGTGAAAGCACAAGGCTCTGCCAGCCTACACACCTTTCACACTCACTGACAAGGAAGCCTCATAGCTACCTCCAGAGAGCTGTTTGACAGCTATAAGCTGACTAGAGTCAACTCCAAAGTCTCTGAAATGCTTTAACATGAGGATCCAGAGGCAGGCAGAGGAGCTGCCTCACAGCCTACTAGGCAACATTAAAGCCAAAAAGGATGAGAAGGTGTGGCAAAACTGGCATTGCAGAGATTCACCAGAGTTCTCCACCATACTCCCCACTGAACAGTGCTTCCTCCCCTGCAGCAGACACCTGGGACACTTTTAACTGAAGGATAAGAAAAGGAGCAGGCACTATGCCAGGGAACGCCACAAAACCTGGCCTTGGGAATAGCGAGAGCTCAGCTCTTGGTGGGAGCATCCTGGTCAGCAGGACAGTGCCTCAAGCTGCTTGCTGCTTTCTGCTTCCTGACAGGTGGCATGTACTCAAACCTTTCCCACCCTACACCTGTAGACCCCATTTCTGATCCACCCAAATATTTTGGGCTAGAGGGAGGCCTTATATTGAGGGAGGCCTTACCTAGGCCTCCCTCAGCACTTAGAGGGGGAGGGGTGGATGCACAAAGCAAAGTTGTTACTAACTGGGTTTTAGGGTCCAAGGACCCAATTTGAGTCTTGGTTACATTTACTTAACCAGGCAGAGTGGTTGGCCCATAACTTCATAAGAGGCATAGTAGTATAACGCCATTTTATAAACAAGAAATTAAGGTCCAGAAAAGTCAATGGATTGGCCCAGGTCATACAGAGTTGAGTGGTAAGCGACAGAGCCAGGATAAGAGCCTATGCTCTTAACAATGATAGATATTTTATGAACAAATAGCTCAAACTCCCCCTTAATGGCAAATCTAAAAGTGGAATAATAAATGTGTTTTCGTGAGAAACTTTTAAAAGCATAATAAAAATGAAGATTAAAAGCAAAAATGTACCTAACAAAAATTTAGAAAAATTGTAATTGAAGGCAGTATAATTTCTGTGGCAAGAAATTTTGGAGATATTATGAGATATCTATTGAATTTATTTTTTTTGTTTTAGAAAAATGTTTTTATTACCCTCAGCACTTAGAGGGGGAGGGGTGGATGCACAAAGCAAAGTTGTTACTAACTGGGTTTTAGGGTCCAAGGACCCAATTTGAGTCTTGGTTACATTTACTTAACCAGGCAGAGTGGTTGGCCCATAACTTCATAAGAGGCATAGTAGTATAACGCCATTTTATAAACAAGAAATTAAGGTCCAGAAAAGTCAATGGATTGGCCCAGGTCATACAGAGTTGAGTGGTAAGCGACAGAGCCAGGATAAGAGCCTATGCTCTTAACAATGATAGATATTTTATGAACAAATAGCTCAAACTCCCCCTTAATGGCAAATCTAAAAGTGGAATAATAAATGTGTTTTCGTGAGAAACTTTTAAAAGCATAATAAAAATGAAGATTAAAAGCAAAAATGTACCTAACAAAAATTTAGAAAAATTGTAATTGAAGGCAGTATAATTTCTGTGGCAAGAAATTTTGGAGATATTATGAGATATCTATTGAATTTATTTTTTTGTTTTAGAAAAATGTTTTTATTACCATACTCTTGGAAATAATTTCAAGGCATGATAAAAATTATTTCACTGTGTGCATAATTTTGCAACCACAAGAGCTAAGATGATTCCTTTGTTATTTATCTCTATAAATAAAATTACTGGTTTCTTAATTATTGGAAACGTTAACTGATTTAAAATCATGAATAGTTGGAAATGTCACTGCACTCTGAACTTGGAAAATGATAGATCAAAGTAAATGTCATTGCTGTAGAAGACTGGACTCGGTCACTAATATTGCTCACCCTGTTTCCTGAGTTAATTTAACATTTTTCAAGATATGATAATAAGCACTAAGATCCACAACAATGAACCAGAAGCTTGCAAAATTCTGGAGCAATCATGAAATTCAGTGTGTATTCAGTCCAGTCAGTTTCCACATTATAATATTTTATCAGGGCATGACTCTTTGGGTGGGAACTTTCTGAGAGGTCAAAGGGCTCACTACCCAAATGGAGACAGGCTGAGCAGTCACCTTCCATGACAGTTTCAGGGTCATAGTGGGATTTATCTGGACAGCCAGATGCTAGCACTGTCACTGCCTGATGGCAGAGGCCAAATAAGACCAGGTTCTCAGCTGCAAAAATGCACATTCTGCTTTGTAATCCTCTAGTTAAAAGGTCCTATCAGTGGAGTCCAGAATTAAGCTATGTGCCATGTCCCTCCCCAAAAGACAAAGCAGAACTGTCCCTCCCCCAGCTTGGTGTCTTCCTGTCTATAGCACTCAGTGATCACTGGCGCCTCACTCTGGGGTTTACTTGGTCTTCACCCTCACCAATGATTGTGAAAATTTATCAAAGGTTCAGGATTCCAACTGTAGTAACTAGAGCTACTACTTATTTAAATGAAGTATTTATGTTTTTTTGAGACATCTTAGCCATATAGTTACATCTAAGTTTCCTAAATAGGATGTTGGGTCTGGAATTTTTAATTTTACAGTTTATGCACATCATTTTCTAAGATGGGTCTCAATAATACCAAGACCTTGAATTGAATCTTTCACCCCTAAAATGAACTTGCATATTCCATGAGAACAGGAACCACACCATGTACTTACATAATCAATTCTGATTCAAGGATGTATTATTTAAACCAAGACCTAAAAGATAGCTGAAGACAACCAGGCAAAAGATGAGGGGAGCATATTCCAGGTAGAGGGAACATCTGAGAAAAGGCATCGAGGAGCACGGGAGGGAGAACAGTTAAAGATCTAAAAGCAGGCCCAGGTGACCAGAGCAAGAAGTGGGATGAAGCAGGAGATAGGCAAGGCAGACCACACCTGGTCTGAGGTGTCAGGGAGGGTCTTGGCCTTTATCCTATGTGCCATTGGGAGTCAAACATGAAGGGTGAGTGACATGGGCCAATTTTCAGTTTTAACAGATTACTCCCACTGTAAGTGAGAATGGAAAGTAGGGGCAGGAGTAGAGGCAGAAGTTCAGGTTAGGAGCCAGAGCAGTGTCCATGGAAAAAATGTGGTGGTAGAGATATCTCACATGTATAAACCTTCTTTCTCAATGCTTTACACAGAGAATGCACATACATATAGATTTATTGCAAATGGAGCAAATAAAATAATTCTACTGGCTGCTTTTCTTCATGATGACTGACTATCTCAACAGCCTATGATTCTCTTTTCCCTTTGGTAAGGCAATTCTGTGCTTTTCTTTCCCTTTTTAACATAACAGTGACTGGGTGTTTCACGGAGCAAAATAAAAACCTTGAGATATGCTACAGAAATGATTTCGAGACATAAAAATATTTTTGACTAATAGTTTTGGTATTTGCCAAGTTTTCCCCTGCTCCACCCCTAACTTCCAGGTGGGTGGTATTAAGAAAGCAGAGATCTCTCTGGTGGATGAAGTGAAGGTCATTGTGGGGAGGAAAAGCCTCCGTGTTCTGGAGTGGGTGTGGGGTGAGGAACAGAGCAGAAACTGCAGTGAGCATCATCAATTCACCCAACCCCCACGCTGGGGAGACAAAGGGTCCTTTGCAGAGCAAAGGTTCTGGCCCACCTCCTCTAAGGGAGTCTTTGGGTGTTCCTGGCCTGCCCAACCAACAGAATATATCTCCAGTCTTATCCTTTCTTTCCCAATTCCCGCAATGGCAACCACGGACGGAGGGTTTCTTCCCTTCTCTAGTGCAGACCTAAAAGGATCAACGTCCCCAGACTCCAGACCCCAACCATACGAGCAAGGCACCACAGGGTGAAGAGAATGTAGACCTTACTCCCTCCACCATCCCTCCCATTATGCGAAAGAACGCACAAAAATTTCCAAATCACTGCTCTCCCTCCCCCTCCTCCCCCCGCCCCAGCGTACAACCTCCGGGCCTTGGCGACTTACCGCTGGGGCAGGGAGTGTCGCAGGACGCTGCCTGAGTCTGGTCAGGAGCCACTCCCGAACCGATCTGCTCGGTCAGCACCACGGCCAGATCCCACTTTCGAGTCTAGAGTGGTTCTCACGACCCGCTGGACTCGGCTGGGCAGCTCCAGCCGCAATCAGCTGGGGAAGGTTAGTCCGCGAGAGGGCGGGCTTCTGCCGAGAATGTAGCGGTGGGAGGTGCCATTGCTCAGCAGTGGGAGAAGTGAAGCTCGCGGGGCTGGAATGGAAGCTGCAGTCTCGGTGCCCCACTGCCACTGTCCCCATTGGATCTCGCTTTGCTTTTGTTTCTCCGTGTCTCTGTCTCTGCCTACCCGCAGGGATGTAGTTTTGCATTCCTCAGGCCCAGCTGCCTGTGCTGCTAGAAGGGACATCAGCCCAGTTGCCTCATTCCTGCGCCGGGTCTGACGTCCTCAGAGCTCATAAATGTAGTTGTCCTTACCCTCACAGCCCCTAGCATACAGGAAGATTTAACACCAACCTTCTCGGAAGGCCTCGGTCACACAATGCCTAGTCATGAGTCCTACCCAGGATTCGGAGACGGGTCAGGCCAATCTCAGGACGCAGGGCAGTCTTCCAGAACCTTCTTTACAGACTGCCTTTCTTGGGCCCAATTATATTATTATTGGGAAGGAAGGAGGCGCTTCCCTTACAGGTACTCACTGTATGGGCTGTGCTGGGGCTACACCCTGCCGCAGTCTTGGGGAAGTAACAGAAATGTAGGACTCTCTCCCTGAAAAGCTGAGGACAGAGGGTCTACACGCTGGGAGGCAGGAATAAAGTATGGATTAGTAACTCTAGAATGGCTCCGGGAGCAATGCCAAGAGCACAGTGTGTGGGAGTTAGGGGGAGCCAGAGTGCACAGCTGGTGCTGGTGAGATGGCTGATCCTAAAGGCTGGGGTAAGTGAGGTGAGGGGACTTGATCCCACATCACAGAAGTTGAGCACTGGCAATGAGCTATGAGAGGAAGGAAGGCGGGATCACCCAGTCCAAGCTTGGGCTGAATGAAGCCCAAAGCAGGTTCAGGCTCAGACAAATGACAAAGGCCATGCCTTTCTTTGAACCTAATGGGCTTCCGCCCTGTCCCCATCTAAAAAACCTGGATGCATAAGTTGTACCACCTTGGCTTGGACGGGCTTTGTCATAACACATCTACCTTCTTTATAAATTAAGTCATTTTGAAGTGGCTCTGCCGCAGGTCTCTCTTCCAGCAAGCATCATCCACGGTGAGCACACCTTCTTGCACTTCTTGCAGTTGAACCGTTTTTCTACCTGATGACTGACTCAGTGTGACCTCAGATGTCCTCTTCCCCCCACTCCCCATGTTGGTGTAGTCCTGACTTTTCCAGGCAGTTTCTGACCATCAGATTTCCCTGAATCAATTCTTCTGTTGTTAGGTAGAAACAAAGGTAGACTTATTCCTCATTGCTGCATACATCCTGAATCAAGGACAGAATCCCACATATTCCACAGTCCTTGCTAGTTAAAGTTAATAAACAACCTCTCCTAGAGAGGTTTCCCCTCTTCTGGATTATAAGGACTTTTTATATTTCTTAAATTTTTCTCTGTTTGAGGATAGTATGGGCTCAACTTCTCCAAGTTAGTGATAATTGTTTTTTCTGTGCTCATCTTGCCACCCTTTGGCCAGTGACCACTATTCTAAGCAACCGACTTTGTCTTTTCAGAGATTTTAAAACCTCCTTACAAAACAAAAGTTATATATATCTAACTTTCCAAGGACTAATATTTCCAAGTTCAGGTACACTGAATGATTTTTTCATTAATATTGTTCTAATGTAAATTTAACTTTATGTTCCTTTTATAATACCCTGACATCCTGTTATCTTTTCCTTTCCTGGCATAGACCCTTAGGGTTTTCAGAACTTGCTTCTTGGTCACTTGACACTGAATTGTACACTGAGGATCTCAGACTTTATGGCCAAATTCGTTGCTTTCCTGACAGACCCAAAGAATTTCACTTGATGATGAGCACAAATGTGGCAACAGCTGATCCAGTAGGCTGCACCAGTGGGGTTACAATCCAGGTTTGTAGACTGAGAAAACAAAGTTCCTTGTGGACTGAGAGGACTGGGGGGTTAGGGCACTGGACCTCATACCTCTAAGAAAGGCTGGCAGGACTGGGACTGTCTACTAGGAGAAACACAGGCCTCACAGGGGGTGAGGGGAGCACAATTTGGAGAAGATGACTGGATTAGGAGGAGGAACAATGGCTCCAAGGATGGTCATAGCCAGAGACACTCTAGTACTCAGATTGGTTCCCCTGCAGAAAGATGTCCTCCCCAATCTTAAACAAACTAGTATTAAGGGATACTGTCAGATGAAGTAGTCCATTGTTATGACTGGGTGGTTTCTTGTTCTTGTATTTTATTTATTTATTTTATTTTTTATTTAAATATAGCTGGTTATACTATTATATTAGTTATATTTGTTTTAGGTGTACAATATAGTGATTCAACATTTTTATACCTTACCTCATTATTTCTAGTAATTATCTGTTACCATGCAAACTTACCACAATATTATTGACTATTCCCCTTCACCTTTTTCATCCATCCCCCATTCCCTTCTTCTCTGGCAACCATCACTTTGGTCTTTGTTTCTAGGAGTGTGTTTTTGTTTTGTTTGCTCATTTGTTTTGTTTTTGTACTTTCCACATATAAGTGAAACAACACAGTATTTGTCTTACTCTGTCTGACTTATTTCACTAAGCATAATTCCCTGTAGGTCCATTTATATTGTCACAAATGGCAATATTGTGTTTTCTTTTATTGTTAGGTAATATTTTATTGTATATATAGAGTGGGACAAAAGTAGGTTTACAGTTGTTTGTATGGAAAATAATACAATCTATACTAATAAAATAATAATATGTTAATTAGACCGGGAGACCTTCCGGAGACCTTCCGCACATCCTTCCGGACAAAGCCGGGGCTTGGCCAGCCTGCAAACCGCCCCCAGGCCCTTGCCCAGGCCATCCCGCTCCCCGGCCCAGGACACCCGCCCCCAGCAGGGACCCCCACTCCATCAGGTGGCTGGCCAGCCTGCAAACTGCCCCAGGCCCCTCGCCCAGGCCGCCCGCTCCCCAGTGGAGACCCCCACCCTAATGGGGGTGTGTCCAGCCTGCAATCGGCCCTCAGCCCCCCAGTGGTGACCCCCACCCAATGGGGGCGTGGCCAGCTTGCACACCACCCCAGGCCCCTTGCCCAGGCCAGCCCTACCCCCCAAGGGGACCCCCACCCTGATCCAGGACCCCCTTCAGGGCAGACCAGCCAGCCCCCACCCATGCACCAGGCCTCTATCTATACTAATAAAAGGGTAACATGCTAATCTGACCAGACATCCTTCCAGACAAAGCCATGGTGGTGGGGCCAAGGCAGAGGCAGTTAGGGGTGATCAGGCTGGCAGGGGAGAGCAGTTAGGAGGATCTGGGCAGTTAGACATCTCCTGAGGTGTCCCAGATTAGAGAGGGTGCAGGCCGGGCTGAGGGACACCCCCTTCCCATGCATGAATTCTAGTCTATATATATTAAAGCCCAGTGACTGAATGGCGGAACAACCAGAACGACTGGTTGAACAGTTGCTATGATGCGCACTGACCACCAAGGGGCAGACACTCAATGCAGGAGCTGCCCCCTGGTGGTCAGTGCGCTCCCACAGTGGAAACACAGTTCGGCTGACCAGAATGAGTAGCACTCCCACAGCTGCCAATTCCCGCAGGCCATGCCCCCACCAGTGCATGAATCCGTGCACTGGGCCTCTAGTAATTAATAACTAATAATACAAGAATAAACTGTATTTCACATATTCACAACAATAAACCTACTTTTGCCCCATCCTGTATGTACCACATCTTCTGTATCTGTTTATCAATGGACATCTAGATTGCTTTCATATCTTGGCTAGTAAGTAATATTGCAATGAACATAGGGGTGCATATATATTTTTAAATTAGTGCTTTTATTTTCTTTAGATAAATACCCAGAAGGGGAATTGCTGGTTCATATAGTAGATATATTTTTAGTCTTTTGAGGAATCTCCATACTGTTTTCCATAGTGGCTGCACCAATTTGCAATCCCTCCAGCAGTAAACAAGCATTCCTTTTTCTTCACATCCTTACCAACACGTTATTTGTTGACTTTTTTATAATAGCCATTCTGACTGGGTGAGATTATATATAATTGTGGTTTTGATTTGCATGACTCTGATGATTAGTGATGTTGAGCACCTTTTCATATCTCTGTTGGCTATCTGTGTCCTCTTTGGAAAAATGTCTCATCATATTCTCTGGCCATTTTTGATTGGATTGTTTATTTTTTTGTTATTGAGTTGCATGAGTTCCTTATATATTTTGGATATCAACCCCTTGTTATTTGTGAATATATTCTCTCATTCAGTAAGTTGTCTTTCTGTTTTGTTGATGGTTTCCTTTGATGTACAGAACTATTTAGTTTTATGAAGTTCCATTTGTTTATTTTTGATTATGTTTCATTTGCACCAGGGGACATAGCTAAAAGAGTATTACTAAGACTGATTGGTGTCAGACAGTTTGTTATCTATGTTTTCTTCTAGGAGTTTTATGGTTTCAGGTCTTACAGTTAAGTCTTTAATCTATTTTGAATTTATTTTTGTATATGGTGTAAGAGAGTGGTACAATTTCATTTTTCCCATATAATTGTTTAGTTTAATCAACACCACATGTTGAAGAGATTGTCTTTTCTTGATTGTATATTCTTGACTCCTTTGTTGTAGGTTAATTGATCATGTAAGTGAAGGTTTATTTCTGGGCTTTATTCTATTCCATTTATCTATTTGTCTGTTTTAGTGTGAGTACCACACTGTTTTAATTATGATAGCTTTGCAGCATAGTTTGAAATCAGGAAGTGTTATACCTCCCACCTTGTTCTTTCTCAAGTTTTCTTTGGCTATTTGTAGTTCTATATACATTTTAGGATTTCTTGTCCTAGTTCTGAGAAGAATGTCACTCATAATTTAAAAAAACACAACACTTTTTATCCTCATGTGAGGATATGCTTATTAATTTCAGAAAGAGAAGAGAGAAGAGAGAAGAGAGAGAGAAAGAGAGAGAGAGAGAGAGAGAGAGAGAAACATCTAGTGAAAGAGATTCACTGATTGCCTCCTGCATGCTCCTCTACTAGGGAATTGAACCCGTAATCTAAGTATGTGCCCATACATATTTTGATAGGGATTTCATTAAACTGTAGATTGCTTTGAATAATTATGGTCATTTTAATACTATTAATTCTGCTAAGCCATGAGCATGTTATATCCTTTCATTTATTTGAGTCTTCTTTGATTTCTTTCTTCCATATCTTATAGTTTTCAAAGTACAGGTCTTTTATGTACTTGGTTAAATTTGTTCTCAGGTATTT